GTCCTTGGGCCGGATAATCCCAGAAATGTGTGCAGCAATATCACGCGTCCTGAGGGCTGAATATTTGAAGGTAGATATTATATAGTTATATATATGACTGAAAGAATAGTGTTTTTTTTTTTAAATCAGTTCTCTTGCCCCTTTCAGCTCCTGCACAGTGGTTTTGTATGGCTCTGCGTATCTTACCCATAAAAAGCAGTGCGCATACAGTGCAAATCACTGACAACATGTAATGTGAAACAGTCAACAGTTTGCCATTTCATCTGCCCACATTTTAATCTTTTACTGTCTGGTAAAAAAATGCAATAAACAATTCTTCTTAATACAACCCCCCCCCCCCCACAGTAAACATAAAATACACAATGAGAAAACATTTTGAATAAAAAACTCCAGCCTTATTTTATAAAACTAATACGTTTATTGAACAGAAAACACAGCAATTAAATAATTTCTAAATATTGTAACGATAATGTGTATATGGAACGATTTATTTTTAAAGATTTGTGTATTGCACATCCCAAATACTATGTGATGCTTCTGGCCAGTTATGATTATTCGGAGTGGCAGGCAAATGAGGTTGAGACTCTCGAGCTGTACTGTGCGTAGGCGTATTCGGAGCCATATATTGCTGTTGCGGTGTGCCCTGTGCATTCAGATATCTACTGAATCCGACAATTCTGGTGTCGTAGGAACCCTTTCCCCTTTGGCCAATTGTTAATATTTGATAAATAAGTGGGTCTACTATTTCCTGTTGCTGCAGGCTCATATTCCGCAGTTTGTGCGCGATATGATTTGCAAAGCCATTCATCTTCTTTTTCTGCCAGGGCAGCAGAAGCTTGCCGTAAAAATAAATTAGTCTCAGATTCTGGGTTTCTTTTTTTTTTCCTTTGTTCACAGGCACGGGTTGTGTGTACTTTTCTCTGGTGTTGCCTCACTTTCCTGCAACTGAAAAAATTTAGGAAATATGTTAAATGTTACATAAACACACATTAAAAAACTTCTTATCTGTTACAGTTTCCAAAGTGCGCTCAAGACTGGCTGCAGATTTCAAAAGACTTTCAAGACCTGTGGAACTTTCCAAACTGTGGTGGTGCCATAGATGGCAAACGTGCACATCACACCAACGGCTCACTTGGGGTCCTACTGCTATAATTATAAAGGCTTCTTTAACATCATACTTTTAGCCATTGTTAAAGCCAAATATGAGTTCCTGTATCTAGACATTGGGAAAAATGGTTGTAATTCCGATGGAGGAGTGAAGGAGAAAACAGAATTCCACAAAAGAGTTAAGGCTGGACTTCTACAGCTGCCCACCGCCAAGAATACAGTTGAAGGACTTAATTTTGTTTTTGTTGCTGATGATGCCTTTTCTTTGAGTGATCATATTTTAAAGCCATTTCCATGGAGAAATATGAATCACGATCAAAAAAACCTATTTAACTACAGGCTGTCAAGGGCACGGCGCGTGGTGGAAAATGCCTTTGGCATCCTGGCAAGTCGCTTCAGGATTTTCCACACTCCCATCAATGTGAGCATTGACACAATTGATGCGATTGTGGAGAGCTGCTGCTTAATTCACAATTTTCTGAGGGCTACGAACACTGCCTATATGCCACCAGTATCACTGGACAGAGAAGATCCGTTAATCGGTGAAGTTTTGCCTGGAGAATGGCGGAGCGATAATGGAGGCCTTGAAAATTTGGCTCATGCACGTCCAGTTCATGCAATATTTTATGGGGAATGGTGCTGTATATTGGCAGGATAATGTTGTCTAATGTACCGTATTTTCCGGCGTATAAGACGACTGGGCGTATAAGACGACCCCCCCTACTTTTCTTGTTAAAATGTAGTGTTTGGGCTATACTCGCCGTATAAGACTACCCCTCTTCCAATGCACACCAGTGGGAAGAATCGTGCCCCATCATTGGTGTCAGTGGGAGGAATAGTGTCCCATCATTGGTATTAGTGGGAGGAATAGTGCCCCATCATTGCTATTAGTGGGAGGAATAGTGCCCCATCATTGGTGTCAGAGCGACGAATCGTGCCCCATCATTGGTGTCAGTGGGAGGAATAGCGTCCCAACATTGGTGTCAGTGGGAGGAATAGTGTCCCAACATTGGTGTCAGTGGGAGGAATAGTGTCCCAAGTGTCCCAACATTGGTGTCAGTGGGAGGAATAGTGTCCCAACATTGGTGTCAGTGGGAGGAATAGTGTCCCAACATTGGTGTCAGTGGGAAGGAATAGCGTGGGAGGAATAGTGTCCCCAACATTGGTGTCAGTGGGAGGAATAGCGCCCCAACATTGGTGTCAGCGGGAGGAATAGCGTCCCAACTTTGGTGTCAGTGGGAGCGCCCCGTCAATCGCGGGAGGAATAGCCCCATCTTTGGTGTCAGTGGGAGGAATAGTGTCCCAACATTGGTGTCAGTGGGAGGAATAGTGTCCCAACATTGGTGTCAGTGGGAGGAATAGTATCCCATCATTGGCGTCAGTGGGGGGTGGAATAGTGCCCCATCATTGGTGTCATGGGGGGGGGGAATAGTGCCCTATCGTTGGTGTCAGTGGGGGGGGGAAGTGCCCCATCGTTGGTGTCAGTGGGAGGAATAACGCCCCATCATTGGTATCAGTGACACCAATGATGGGGCACTATTCCTCCCACTGACACCAATTACACCTGTTCTAGTATGGTGCTGCTGCAGCCAGCATATGTGGTTGCAGCAGCACCTCTGCACGGCACACTTACCGGCCGCTCCTTCACTCGATTTTTGCGGGACCGCTCGGCTCCGCCTCCTCGATGGTGATTGGCCGCCTGTGTGCCTTTCCTGAGCTACAGTTCTGGCGGCCAATCACCGGTGAGGAGGCGGAGCCGAGCAGCCGCGCGAACATTCAGTGGCCGAACCGAATGAAGGAGCAGCCGCGCTTCCTGGACCGGATCGTCGCGGGACCGGAGCCAGGTAAGAGACAGCAGCCCCTGCACTTTGTGTCCCTTCCGTTGGTGGGGGGGGTGGCGGCGGCACCCTAAAAAGTGTCAGCATGCCGTATACCGGTGTATAAGATGACCCCCAACTTTTGAGAAGATTTTCAAGGGGTAAAAAGTCGTCTTATACGCCGGAAAATACGGTATGTATTAAAGGTGACTTGAATTTGCAAAAAAATTTTGTGTGTGCTCAAAAAAAATAAATATATTTTAAATGATTTGTGATCATGGATTTAATGGTACATTTTCAGGTTTCATTCAATCATATAATGCAAACAAAAATGTTTTACTTCAATTACCTGTGTCTCTAGTACCTCAAATTCAGACAGAGGCGAACAGGAGGGTTCATCAGAGGGACCAGGCAGCAAAGTGCATTGAGACTCCCTTGGCATATCTGAGTCAGTCAGGAACATGAGGTTCTGAAAGTACCACAGCCATGGCACATACACGTCATCTGTGCCAGCACCAGATTTTTTGGAGTTTTCCATTTTGTTAAGCTCTTTTTGAAAAACAGTACGCAGGTTGGCTATTTTGTTTTTCACATAATTTTCGTTAGCATTTACGCACACGGTTTTGCATAGCTCAATCAGTTTTTTCATAGCCTCATCACACAGCAATCGATTTGAATATGCTTTTGATTTTACTTTCCACAGACATGGCATCTCTCTGTACGTATCAATAAACGGTGGCAAAAAGGCAACAGATGTAAACTTCTGGGCCATTTCTGAAAATAAAAATAAAATTAAAATGAGGTCCAAACATATGTTGATTGAAATAAGAAATAATGCTAACAGCACAATATGCTTATGCTATCACAATGGGTTTAAGTTTTCACAGCACCAAGCACATGGAAGCACATGGGAAACACATAAAAGCACATGGCACAGGAAAGCCTTGCAACATGTTGCATAAGTAATCATATTATGAATGGTACCTACATGTTTTAGTCGTTTGGTCTCCGAAAACACGTTTATCTTGACAATGATCGTTGAATTTTTGCTCAGTCCAGCCGTCTCCCTCACAAGAAAATTATCGTTCTGAAGAAAAAACGTTCACGCACACGAATTTAAGTACTATTTTGGCGCTCTTTCACGCTATAAAGACCACCCCTCCCTCTCATTGTCGGGACAAGTTGGAGGAGCAAAAGGAAGAAAACACATCAAGTGAGCACGAAGGATCGCAGCAGCAGGTGCAGCAGCAGCAGCAGCAGCAGCAGCAGCAGCAGCATCTTCCTAAAATCGGACTAGAGAAAAAAAGAAAGGCAAGCAACATGTCTTTGGAGGAAATGGTGGAGATGGTTAGAATCCTGCTCCGGAAGGATTATGATTGCAAGCTGCAAGTGTACAATAACACCAATCGCAGAAAGGATGCAATAATGGGCAAAACCCTTAAAGTGCTCTGGAAGAAATTTGGGGTAAAACGTACAAAGGACCAACTGAGAAAAAGATGGTCTGATCTGAAGTTTAGGGAGGCTGATCAGTTTAAGCGAATCAGAAAAAATTATCAGAATTATTCACTGAAATTGAAAAATATATATTTGTATTTGTTTTTTATGTTGTATAATGTTTGCCATATGCTTATGCTAGCGCTATGCCTCTTCATTAATGTAATGTGCTGCTTGTGATGTGACCTATTTAATTATGTTAATTAATGTGAAATTAAGCAGTGAATAGAACATCAATGCTGTATTAATTAATTTAAACTTAATTTCACACAGGAGAACGTAAGAGTAAAACAGATAATGAGGAAGCTGTCTAGGAGGATTTAGAAAAAAAGGCTATGGATGATCCTGTGGAAGTTTTTGAGGAAGCAATACTGAACATTATGCCTGTTGAGGATACAGTCAATAGCACAAGTTATGGTAAGTATTCTCATGTATATACTGTACATGCATTCATCTGTGTTTCAAAACATACATTTTAATAATTCACAATTTTTGTATCAGGAAATCCTGATTCAACAGCACTAAATAGTTATACCACCCAGAAACTTAGAGCAGAATTGATGGCTTGTAACATCCAGATTGAGGATAACTGAAATACTTTAAACACCTTGCGATGCAGGATCAATACAGTTTTAGATACACTCTGCAAACTGATATGAATCTTGTATTATATTTGCCAGACCATTTTTAAAAAAAAAGTTTACTGTTGAACAGGGGCGGACTGACCATTTTGAAACTCGGGCACCGCCCGAGGGCCCGGGGTCAGAAGGGGGCCCCATGAGATGCCCCTGGTACCTTTTTCATAGGCTTTTTTGAGTTTGGGCAAGGACACAGGGGCCACATGATCCCCTATTCCCCGGGGGCCCCATGAGTTGTCAGTCCACCCCTGCTGTTGAATGTCTAACATTTTCCTCAGGATATTTGAACAGCTTTCATTCATGTTAGCACTTGGGGTTTTGCACATTACATATCAATCTTTCAGATATTTTAGCATACTGATTACTGTCTTGTCAATATAGGTTTTGGCAAAGGATGTCTTGCAAATAGATTGTCCTTTTCTCTTACCAATTTTTGGAAATGCTTTCATTCATGTCATGTCAGCAAATAAAAAACACTTAGGGTAGTGTATTGTTTAATATATGTCAAGACTACAATGTGATTGCACACATTGTGGATGATGTTTATTATGTCTTCTTTATTGAAGATCTGTACCATTAAACAATATTTGTCTATAAATATATGTATACAATGTACACTTCACATTTTATATTGTAAAAAAAAAAGTAATATTTTTATAAAGATAATACATGATTAAAAAAACAACTGCTTTGGATAATGACAATGTGTCAATAAAGCTATGCTGCTTTAAAAGTATATGACTGTTATTATTTGTGTGTATAAATATATAAAGTTTAATAGATGTTGATAATGAACATAAATTTGTTAATTTGTGGGGTACTACAGCACAGTGCAATAAACATAGAGGATTCATGTTCTTATGTACATCACAAACAAAGCTAATAACAAAGTAGTATTTGAAATGATGTTTGGTTTACATGCTAGAACGTTTGACCTTTCTTCCAGAAAAGACATTTCGTTCGTGAGAAAATTCTTTTCTTTCCAGGTCACCACACATGCGCATATAATTATAGTTTGGAAATTCGTTCGGTTGGACCATCAATGAGATGAAAATCGGTCGTTTAACAAAAATTTTCCAGCATGACCGATAATCCAAATGAGAAAATGACCCATACACGGCACAAATATCTGACGATTTTAATGTCGGCCGAAAAATCGCCAGATTTCACCCCCATCTATGGCCTGCATTACAGCCCTTTCACATGGGCGTTCACTCTGAATCCGTCTGTCAGACAATGTATGTCTATGAGTGGGGTTATGTAAACAGACATCCGTCCATTTACATTGGCTTAGATCTAAGTCCATTTATGTCTGAGTATACAGCTGGCCATAGACAGTTCGAATCTTGGCTGGTTCAGCAGAGACTGGCTGAGATTCGAACCAGGTATGGGCAGGCTGAATGTACCCAAGTTTATCGATCAATCAACTTGGGTTCAACCAGCCTTATTATAGCTGCTAACAGTAATCACTGTGTTCTCTCAGAAAGAAGGTTCCCCCCACCTCCCCCTGCCAGAACACAATAGATTTGCGGTAGGGATTCCCCATCAACACTGATTGTGTTAATGGAGGGGGGGGGGGGGACCAACCTATTTTCTTTCCTGCAACCCTTAGTTGCAAGAAATAAAATCACTCCATCTAAGACCAGACCTACATCTGAAAAACCAAGCTCCCCTGCAAATTTAGTCTGCTTGAGTATAGTGCGTTTATTGCTCACCAGCTTACCAACCCAGAAGAATTTAGAGAAAAGTGCATGAATTTGACAGAAGAATGCTCATAATGAACATAATCTCTTGGGGAGAATCAAGCTTTTTTATTAGTTTTTGTAATGAAACCGATGACACTTGTTTGAAAGGACCTATAATTATTTTGTTCTGTATGCTATGGATTTTTTGTAGTCTGTGTGTGCATGTATTACAAAAACAGATGGGAGGGATGCAAAATAAAGAAAAACTGATTAAAAGAAAAAAAGAAAAAAAAGATGCTTCCTTATTTTTCAATTAAAGACATAGGATCAGATGTACATCAGAAACAATTGGATTATAGTCATGGCTTAAGGAAGAACTGGACACTAGCAAACAAGAAACATTGGCCAGGCAGGTATAACCCCTCCCACCCTAATTTACTAGACATTTTTTATTTTTCACAAGATAATTCCACTTAATTGTCTTGTTGTTGAGCTGAGCTCTTACGAAGCTATCTGGATTGGCTTATTTATGATGGTCTTTTTGAAGGCTGTATCCAAACCCTGCCAGACCCAACTTTGTTGGCATACCTATCATGTGACCCTTGGGCACTGGGCTCTGCTTGTGACACATCCCGTTCCTGATGACCCCTTGGGGGTGTGCTCTTGAATAGGGTGAAAAAACTCCTGGAATATAACATCGATCACTGGGTCCTGCTTATGGCAATCTACAGTACCCTAGTACTGTGATTCTTTGTAACAGAGCAATGTCCAGGATTACAGCTATAGTTTATGTCTGTGACTTAGCCCTGTGTGAGCATGGATGCTATTTTCTACTGCCACTGTTTTTTCGCTCAAAGGGTTAAGGTGCAGAAGAAATAAATGCTGCCTACAGGGGTTAGACAAAAAAAAAAGGAAACACTAGATGATTTGCAGGTTTGAAAGTGATGACATGTTTTGCGTTGAAAGCAGAAGTGATGTAACATTCTTTTGCTTCTACTCTGTGATGAGACACCTAGCTAACCAGTGGGAAGCCTCACTTTCATCATTCACTGTCCATGCTGCTAGCAATATGGAGTTGTGTCAGAGCTTACTGAGGTTCAAAGAGGGCTAATTGTTGGTGCCCGCTCAGCTGGTGCCTGTGTGACTGAAGTTGCCAATTTATCTGCCGTGTCATGAGGTACAGTATCAAAGGTTATGAAGGCATATACAATTTCAGGGCAAACATAATCTGCTGAGTATAAGCACGGTCGAAATGGTCAACTGACCGACAGAGACAAAAGGACATTGTGCAGGATTGTTACCCAGAATAAGAAAACAACTGCTGCAAAAGTGACTACAGAGCTCAATCTCAGTCCTGTGAAAACTGAGATTGAGCTCTGCAGTCACTTTTGCAAACAGTGTAACTGTTTTGGGAATTTTCATTGATAGACTAAGGTCAGTGTTACAGGTCCTAAGACTATCAAAACCATTCCAGTACATTCCTTACTTAAACCTATTCTGTACAGACATTCGACTACTCCTGACAAACTGTTTTCTCATTCCAAACACGTTGCAAAGCATTATCAGTTTTATGATGCATTTTTTAAAGAAATGAGCTGTTCCCATTGTGGATCCAACCATTTTTTGTTTTAATAAGACCTTGCTTTAATAAGAACGTGGGTCTGTTTATTCCATAAATCTGAGACTTCAGTGACGCAATATAAAAATGCAATATTGTTCCATTTACTAAACAAGGCCAAAAGTCTCATTCCCAAATCCTGGCAAGCAATAGAGCCCCCAAAAATATAAGACTGGATAAACAGAGTCGAGCATATATGGAAGACCTATACCACTTGGATGTGAATAAAATTTAAAAAATGTAAAAATCCTGGGAAGGATTGCACGACTTCAAAAAATCAAAAAGATATTTAGAAGTGGTTGGAGTGTAATGAAAAAAGAAAGCAAAAGGTAAAGGAATAAGAGTATGAGAAGGATAAGAGAGTAGGAAAAGGATAAGAGGGGGAAGAAGCCAGATAGAACAACATCAGAAGAACAAGAAGTAAATGAAAGGGTTATGAAGATCAGAGGAGGTGGGTGGGAAGGTGGGAAAAAAAACAAAACAAAAACAAGACCTTGACTGTTCCTGTAAAGGATGTACCAGTGTTCAAAGATCTGACTGACAAGAGACCATTCTAAGACTTTGTTCTCCCAGCAGGCCTGCTATGCAACCTGCTATAGCTGTCATGGTGTTATCACATGTCCGACGAACCTGAAACTATCCTTATTGACCACTCAGTTATTGAACATTTTGAGCTTCTACCTACGGCTATACACTATTGTGTTGATGGGTTAGTGGATATTGTTTGTTTCAACTCCAGAACGAATCTCATATCTGTTAATAAGCAGAGAACTCTAAAATGTTTTCTGTGGGACATTTGCAAAAAAAACACTTCTTGAGGAAGATCTTTTGGTGCTTCACTGGACAATTTTATTAAAGATGACACTGGCAGAAAAAGTACATTTATGTTGCAGCAATAGAAAAGTAAGCCTCAAACTGGCATCAGTTCTCCTGATTCTGAAGCCAAGAAGAATTCCTTTAATTTTTCCCAGGCCTTCAAGTCCAGGCCAAAGTCTGGGACCCAGTTTAATTGCAGGTTCTGGGCTCCCAACATACAAGCCCTCTTTTCTATTAAAGGGCTCCCCTACTTGAAAAAGTGTGCGTGTGTGTGTGTGGTGGGGGGGGGGGGGAGCATCTGTTGGCCTTTGCAGATATCTTGACCAAAAGCATCTCAAGTTTATGGGTAAAAGAGGCCAGGGGCTACAAGCTAGAGTTAGCTAGGCTACAATCTGCCTCCTCCTTGCTTCATGTCCTCCAACCTGACTGTGTCCCTGCACATGCAAACAGACATCCATATTGCCCTGGTGGATCTCCTAAGTCAAGGAGCCATTGCCATTGTTGCAGAAGATGAAAGGTTTCAAAGTTTCTACTCAAATTTGTTCACCATTCCCAAAGTCACACCATTCATCACATATTAGATCTGAAAGCTCTCAATGTCTTCATTTAAGTGTAAAAAGTTTGCATGGAATCCTCTGTGGACACCAAAGATGTATACTTGCATGTCCTTAGCTTTCCAGCACATCAATGCTACCTGTGTTTTGATGTGGGCACACAACACTACCAGTTTGTGGTTTTTCTATTCACTTTGTCTTCCATGCGGCAAGTGTTCACCAAGGTTATTAACCCCAGTGCAAACCCTTGTGCAATCCCAGGGAATTCCCTGATACCTAGACAACCTCCTACTGAGACAGCAATCGGCACAATCTCTGTCAGACAGTGTTTGGGTTGGAACCTGAAATTTTAGAAGTCAGCGCTGGAATTAACCCATCATTTTGACTATATGGATGTCATGTTAGATACTAACCTGACCAGAATTTTTTCCACAAGTCAAATTACCAACTCTCCACAGATTCAAATGCTATAGTCCTGAGCCATTTAACGCTCAGCTTTTGCAATAAGTTCTGGGCCTGATGGTAGCCTGCTTCAAGGCAGTCCCATTTGCCCAATTCCATTTACCGTATTTTTTGCTCCATAAGACGCACCTGACCATAAGATGCACTTAGGTTTTAGAGGAGGAAACAAGAAAAAAAAAAAATTCTGAACAATGGACTGCATATATAGCACAGGAGATGACAAGAGACTGCGAACATAGTACAGGAGATGACCAGAGACTGCGGACATACTACAGGAGATGACCAGAGACTGCAGACATAGTACAGGGGATGAACAGAGACCTTTCAGCAATGCACATATATACAGTCTATTGGGGGGAAGAGGACATACCTGGCCAGCCGGGCTCAGCATCCTCTCTGAGGGTGGCGCTCACAACAATGTCTTCAGCGTACCCTATTCGGCTCTGCAGTGCAGTGATTGGGGCCCAAACCTAAGGGCGGTGCGGGCTTAAAGCGGAGTTCCACCCAAAAGGGGAAGTTCCACTTTAATGCTTTGACCTCCACTCCCCATTATGGATTGGCACCTTTGGGGAGCGGAAGGGGAGCCGGTACCCGAATTTGACAGGTACCTTTTCCCACTTCCACTGTGATCACTTAGGCGATCAGAAGTGGAAGTTGTCCTTTCTCCCTTCCTCCCTGTAGTCTTCTGGGACACGTGACAGGTCCCAGAAGACTATGGGGCCATTCACAAACCACAGCACTTCTCGCACATGCGCAGTGGGCACCCGGCTGTGAAACCGCAAGCTAGCTGCCCACACTAAAGATACCGGCACCAGGGAGAGAAGACGGCTGGTGAAACCAGCGAGGAACAGGTAAGTAGCTGTATTTTAAAAGTCAGCAGCTACAGTTTTTGTAGCTGCTGACTTTTTTTTTTTCATTTGAACTCCGCTTTAAGGGGCAGCTGCTTTGGGCCCTGCCTGGTGCTGTCTGCACTGCTGACTCTGACTCCTCCTCTCCTCTGCCACAGAAGAACCAAGTGGTCGGCCCGGTATTCTAACCCAGCGGCTGGGGGGGTAGTCCTGGTCAATATTCGCTCCATAAGATGCACAGACATTTCCCCCATTTTTTTGCTTCTTATGGAGCTAAAATACAGTACCACTCCAGGACCAAAATTGAATAGGGCAGGGTGCTGCTTAGCTATTAAAAGGGAGCTTCAGCCACCTCAGCCAATTAGTAGAAAGCTTTTGCTGTGTATAGTGACACCATTAGGATAAAGAGGGAAGAAGATTCATAATGATTTACAGGCACATCTATGACTAGCCTTACAGTACTGTATATGTAAAGCCAAAACTTGATTAGCCCTTACTTCGGCAACAATTCTAGAGATTTGTTTTACAGCTTGCTTTCTTACAACTTCCCCAGCTGGGACATAAATGGCAATAAAAACATGGCAGAGGATCTAATTCATAATCCCCACTCTATACAAAACTAAAAAAAGGAAAAAGGTTTTGCTTTTATATAGCATTTACTTATTATTTATTACTACAGAGATTTACTTTACTACAGTGAAACTTTCTGTAAAAGTGAACGTCTTTGGTTATCTGCTGTGCTGAATACTGCTTGCTTGATATGTTTTGGCATAAGTATGTTCAGTTTGTGGAACATCAAGGTGGATATGTGGCTTTGTGTTTGGCTTGCGCATTAATCATGTTATTTGCAGGATTAGAGTGTAAATCCTCACAGAATAAGACTTGAAAGGATAAACAGGCACACTTATCAGTAGTGGTAATATGCTTCTATTGCATGAAGAACAGCTATAGAGACAGTTAGGTGTCAAACATCCAGCTGGACAGAAAGAACCCATCTGGAAAACAAATTTAAACAATCTCAGCACTTACTATAGAGAAGTTGCTGAAAAATGTCCTCTTCTGTAAATACCACTGGAGCTTCTTTTCTCATAGAAGCATTGATGGGTTGGACATCACAGCCTGAGGAAGAAGCTACACAGACCTTTGGGACCCTACGCAGTCAAGACAAATCTGATGAAAAGTTATACTCAAATACAGGACTAAGGGCAAGTCAGTCAGAAGAAAAGGACAAAATGATTAAACACCATACAAAAGAGAACATACTGAAGCCAGAAGGTAATGATAAAAGGGAAAGTGTAAATCCCAATATCATCAGCCAATCACAGTCATCTGCTGGCATCACATCTGAAGAGAAAATGATAACAGGTTGTCAGTTAAAACAAAAGACTGTACATTCTGGAAATAATCAACATGAAGAAAATAATAATCTTCTCGAAAAACCAAACCAATCATATATAGCTCTAATTTCAAAAGCTATCTTGTCCACTCCTGAGAAAAGGCTGCAATTAAGTGATATATATCAGTGGATCATGGACACTTACCCATATTACCACAACCAGGTACAAATTACAATAATTAAACAGATACGGTAACCATAACTACTAACGAAATGGATCTTGTTTGCGAATAAGGAAATTGAAGTGTGTTTTTTTTCAGTTTTAAATGTACATGTTTAAACTACTTATCATTTTGTTATATTTAAAAAATTGACAGATTTATGATTTACTTTAGAAGTAAGGTCAATTCATTTGAGTGATTGCTGTAGGTTTGATTTTAAATGTGGGATTTTAAGGCAGTTGTAGTTCCCCTCTATATGCCTATGTGACTAAGCCAGATGAGCATCTCTCCTCGAAACAAAACACGTCCCGAAAGCCCATATGGTGTGTAGCATGCTCTTTAATATAATCAGCTGTTACATCTAGGCTGAATAAAAACTTGAATTATAAATTCATGCACATTGTGCTATGAATAATGCATAAGTTTCATCTTGTCCCACTGGATACTTTTCCTAAACAAGTATTTTTTTGTGGTTTTGGAATGCATTGATTCACTGGGGTTGTATTACTTAAGGAATATCGGCTTTTTACTTAGTGATCTCAAAATTCACTTAGAAGGTAAAGCTGTGTTCACACTGAATGCACCAGCATGTAGAAAGGAAATTTAAACAGGATTGTTTATTGTATCTAGACTGAATAATAAAAGGCAACACAAATTAACCTTTTTACTAAGCTAAGTATACCTACACTTTTCCAAGAGAACGGTTTTGCATCTTTTAGTAAATTATCTTCATTTTGCCTTCAGTCATTTAATTTTACATATTTGTTTTGTTACTAACATTTGTGATTCTGCGAATGCATTTGACTACACAACATTATTGTTTCCTTAGGACAAAAGCTGGAGGAATAGTGTCCGCCATAATCTTTCCTTAAATGAGTGCTTCATTAAGGCAGGACGTAGTGATAATGGAAAAGGGCATTACTGGACTGTTCATCCTGCCAACATGGAGGCTTTTTCTCGAGGAGATTATCAGCGCCGCAGGACTAGAAGACGTATCCGCAGGTAATTATTCACACTGTTTTTGTAAACTATTACTATTTTGCAAGATGCAAAAATAAAAACATTGTACAATAGTTACAAGGTCTATAAAATAAATTAGGCAATAGGCAGCCGTGTTAAAGACCAGCCTCACACCTTTGTGTTGTGATAAGGTGCAGTAAAATTAAAGTTTGATCGTGTGTGTGACTACAAAGCATGGTAGTGCATGAGTGGCTGTGTGCTGCAATGTGGTGGATTAAATTTTGAAAGAAACCTCAGTGCATCTTGCAAACACAACCCAACAAAATGGGTGTTGCATAACACCAAAATGCACAGATCCACAAAATCCACAATGTGATGGAATGTGTTGCTAAAAAAGTAAGAAAAGTAAGTAGAGTAAAGAAGTCCTCTTTTTGTGTATTTTGATGTGTTGGGAGCCCTTTTAAAATGAATAGGCTGTCCTAATGCAAAACATGTTTAACATATGAATATGTTAACGTGTGCTGTTACATACCACAGTGTACTTCAAATGCATGAAGGGCACTTGAAATGCATTTATTGCTGTGTGGAATCCTGCAAGTAGGTGAAATGTAATATATCTGTAGATACACGTATATTGTTATTGTACATCTATAATCATATGCAAAGCATATTCTATAGCAGCCCAGGCAGCTGCTATAAATCCTGAAGGATGAGGACAATAGTGTAGTGGACATTTTAGTTTAGGGGGTTTGCTATTTCCAAATAAGCCTGGATTGATTGCAAAGAATCAGTCTCCTGAGAATCACATTAGAGGTTAAATGAATGGATTTGTGCAGTCATCCCTGGCTGAGAAAGGAACAGGAAGCTTCCATGCACAGCTCTCTAAGTCAGTAAGCAAGTAATTATTTTTCTTGGGGTTGTGCCTCTCTGTGTAGAGCAGTGTTTATCTCTCCCCATTGCTTTTTTTTTGGCAATTACTTTATTTTTTGGGAGGCTCTACATGTCTTCAGGTTAATCTTTACCACTGTACTAGGATGTTTGTTTGTCAATATAAGGCTTTCCAGAATAGTTTTGCTAAAACCAGGCTCCCACTTATCACCAAGGCACACTATGCATGCAGCTTACTCAGCACGCTAAAATAGTTCTCGGAGTAAGGGTGGACGGCATTAATATCTTTTTAGTTATGTCACTAACCAAATGGACAAATCTTTCAAAAACCCAGGGTCACATTACTTGGATCCTAAGGGGGGACCAGTTTGTCATGACCAGGGGTGGGCTGAAAGACCAGTAGCTATTGCAGTAGAGAGTTTCACACTGATCAGCATGATATGTACACGAGCAGGTAACCCTGGTGGATGATGAGGACTCACCACAGACACAGGGTCCAAGCACTAACCGTTCTTCACCAGGGCTCTCACGAACACAAATGTGCGGCCCGCTCGGCATCTAGGCCTAGACGCCGGGAGGCCGCACATTTGTGTGCGACCGGCGTGAAGAGGTTAAAGATAGTAATGTTCACTTTGTCCATTACCCTCAAGAAGTTCTAACTCTGATCCTGATTTAAAGGCTAAGTTCACCTTTTTATTTTTCTAAATTCCAGGTTACCTATGCACCAATATTGCGTTAATGTACTTCTGCTCTTCCATTGCTTCCTGGTATTCGTCCTGGTATTTGGGACAGGAAAATCATTAGAAGGAAGTACTTCAGCAGTTGACCTCATTGACACACATCCATTCACCTGCCCACCCCCACCTGGAGATTGCTCCTGCCCACCTCTGTAGTTACAAGCAGTCATTGCCAGTTAGCACCATTCTCCCTGAATACACAGCCCTTGTCTTCCTCTGATGATTGATTGCTTTATACTTTATTTTCTTCTTACACTAGATCGTTCATTTGGCAGAGTGTGCAGTAGCTGAGCGTTCAAATAACAGCCTATGTGGAGCAGGATTGTAGTATTGAAAACAGGAAAAGTGTGCCCCTAGAAGTCCGAAAAGCTCATTATACACTATACAATCTGACTGTACAACCTCCTTTATATCTACCATAAACCATGTATTGCAAGTCCCCGAGTGAAGTTCTGCTTTAAGATGACTTTTTTTGTGTTGTACCTTATACACGCTTTTTCACCAATCTTTCGCTAGTCAGTTGTTTACAGTTATCAGAATACAACATATGTTGTGATGGTTAAGGTCAGCCTTTCTCAACTTTTTATTCCCAAGAAACTCTTAAAACAATGTATGGACTTTAGGGAACATTTGATAAAAATGATATACAGCTAAAAATGAATAAATAAAACTAATTATAATAATGGCCAGGAAAGAAACGCAGACAAAGATTGCTTTGTCCTTTTACAATGTTGATCAGTAACTGGTGGTCTGTATATAAGTCTGTGTTACTAGACTTCAAGCAAGTTTTGCAATCCTATACTAATCTGTAGGAAAGCAACACATGTTTGAAGCTGGTCAGATTCAGTTCAGAAGGAAGCCAACTGCGAGTCTTAAAGCACCTGTCAGTAAAGTTTAAATGTTCTCATAAGCATTTCAAACAGATCACTGATGACACTGTCCCTAAAAGCCCCCCCCCCCCCCCCCCCCCCCCAGTTGTTAAAAGCTGACGTTAAAAGGATAAGTCCACCTTGTGGACAAAAATAATAAATCCACATTTTTTTGCAGGTAAAAAAAATGTGCATTTATTATTTTTGTCCAAAGGAACCTGGAAAGCATTGCACCAGTGATCAGCAGATCGCTGATGCCATGCAAGTCTCCTGCAGACTTGTCAGAATATCTGCTTGCAGTACCGGATGTATGGAGCAAACAGATAGACTGACAGGAAGCTTCAACAGTGCTCTACAGCGCAGTGGTATTCCATTGAAAACTACAAGCTGACAGTCGTTAAGGTTGCCGGGACTTGTAGGCACTCATTCACTGAACTCTGTGAATAAGTGACGTGCCATGTGGATGGCGCCCCTCATGGTTGTGCTGTTTTCAAATCTGACAGATAGTACAGAGAAACTTCTTCCTGTACTATCTGTCAGAGGGAGGGGGGGCAGCGGGCTTGGCTGCAGCTATGGGAACATGTTCCATGTTCCATCCTAAAAACATGTAACATGTTCCAAAGGTGAACTTATCCTTTAAGAAATTACTAGCATAATCAAGTAAAAGAATTGAGAAGTCATGTGGTGTTCAGTGCTGAGAACTGCTCACTTTTACATTAGAAATAAAAATCAATATATTAAATGAAATCTTGTGACTTTTCTGAAATGCACACTTGTTCTAGGTGTGCCACTCTAAAATATTAAAGGATAAATTCACCTTTTCGGGCAGAATTGCACTTTTCATAATAAATAGAAGCCTCTTCTAATGTCCTTTCTGCCCCAGCCATCCCAATGTTCTTATCTCTTACCTCATCCACTGAAGTTTTCAATTTTCACGTTTCTGTTTCTCTTTAGATCTACCATCAGGGATGTAGTGCAAGGATCTGTCTGATTTGATGCAAATTGTATGGAGATTGTGCAGATTGCATAGTGTATGGCCATCTTTATACAAGTACATAGGAGGACAGAGTGACTGGAGACACTCAGCTGTCAGTCCCCATTCACATCTCCATATAGGAGGCACTCACGTTCCTGCGTGTGTTTTTTTTGGGTTTTTTTTTGGGGGGGGGGGGGCGTTTTGGAGCATTTCTGCTTGTCACGCATAGGGCAGCCAATTACCTTGAATGAGCTGCCCTATGTGTAACAAACGCCCCAAAGAAGCCTCAGAAATTTCTTTAGAGTGGAGCATGGTTTGTTTTTACCCTGTTTTTTGGTGCACTTATAGTGCATTTGTCGCAAAGCAGGCGCATGCCGGTTACCTGCGCTTGGGGTACCATTACGTGCAATACGCATTTGCAGTACATTTCCAAAACATGCAGCAAAGCTCATGTTTTCTATGCAATTTGCCATGCATTCAGAAATGCACAGATGTGAATGGAGCTTCATTGTTCTTGTATAAACCTAGTGTAGTGGGAGCGCACATTTATTGGCTGATTTTACGCACAACATGTATAGGGCAGCCCACTGATTTCAATGGCTTGCCCTACAAGTGGCAAAGAAGCTCATGGGACATTTTGGTGTGGTGCAATTAGCACATTTTTTACTGTGCATTTTGCTGTGTTTTTCACAATTCTTTTGTGTGGGCAAAGTGTGTGTTTGCTTCTGCATTTGGGGTGCTGTTAACAATCAATGACACCGAAAGTGTCACTAGTTTATTTTAGGTGTATATAGTTGGCCATACCCTGTACAATCTGATTGTGCAATCTTTGTACAATCTCCTTTACCTTTACCAAAACTATATAAGAGGACACACCTATCTATCGCATCATTCTGTACCTAATCAAGCAGGCTTTTGCACTACATAGTTGATGGTAGATCTAAAGGAAGTTGTACAATCAGATTGTATAGTGGACTTTAAGGGAGGACAGGTGCAGGGTGGGTGTTTTTTTTTTTTTTTTTTTTTAATTTAAATATTTATTAAATTTTTCATGTTAATACAAAAACCCAAAAAGGTAAATAATTCTCATACAAATAGACATTTATAACATTTCTACCTTTCCCTTACTAAAAACTTTTTTTTTTTTTTCCCATCCCACTACCCCCCCTTCCCGCCCCTCATCCCCCCCTCCTCCCCCCCTGCAGACTCTAGCCCATTCTAATCTCTTGAGGCTTATTAATTTTTTGCTAACATCCTAGTTCATATTTTCCTATATTTCTCTTTCAATCCTGCTCTTTCCCACTTTTCCCATCTCCTAATATAAACTCTCATCCTATCTTCCTGCATATGATATGATCTTTCCATTCTACCTATCTGGTTTACTCTGTTAATCCAGTCTTCCTCCTTCGGTACCTCAGCTTTCCACCAAAACTTGGGTATCAACCCTTTCGCCGCATTCAAGAAGTACCAAATACCTGAATCTTTATATTTATTTACAGATGTCTCCACATTGTGTAGGAGGCACGTCGTTGGGTCTAACCCTATGTCAATTTCAGTTATTTCTTCAATCAGTTTG